CTAGTGAGAACAAACACAAAAACATGAAACTTAATGCAAACTTCCAGATTAAACAAGACCTTTCTTTCAAGAACACATGAACACCATTTTCTCTTTCTAAAACCAATTTTAAATCGATGCATGACATGCAAAACGGGTTCGATCATGCAATGCAACTAGATGATCAATAAGAATGACAAGAGTAGATCAAGAATCTAACCTCAATACGCGAATCTAATGGTTTGATCTCTAGGAATCAAGCCCAAAAACCCACTCTCTCACTCTAAACTTCTTCTTCTTCTTCTAGAGCTTCTCTCTCCACACAACAAAGACATATAGCAAAATGATACATTTCTAAGTCTGCTGGTTGACTTAACCATCTACAGAGGCACGTGGCAGCGGCTGGTTGGTGCTACACAGAAAGGTGGCTGAGTGACAAGACAAAACTATGACAAAGTGTGTTCAACAAGCAAGACGGCATGGGCACTCTGGCAAGTAATGATCTCGGCTAAGAACAAGACATCGGCAAGTAGGGAACAATGACCTTGGCTAGGAAGGACAACACTTGACTAAGCTGTGCCACACCTTGGCCTAGATGTGTCACACCTCGGTCTAGGTCATACCTCTCCGGGACAAGATCACTTTGGTGCAAAGGTAACATCTCGGCCTAGATAATTCACACCTCGGCCTTGGTGATGAACACCTCGGCCTAGATAATGACATCTCGGCCAGTATGTCAAAGCAAAGGTAGAGGTCAAACAAAGTGGTTCCAAGGAAGTTCTAGACTAAGGACACCCTCGGCTAAACTCACACCAAGCAGGGTACAAAACATGCTGTAGCACATAAACAAACAAGGACAAGACTCGAAATGCAAGTTTACAAGACAGAATCACACGAATGCACATGAGTATGGTTAGGATAGCGTGAGGGTTATTACATAAATGATGGAATGTTGACCTATGAAAGGTGAATGATGTAAAGTGTATGAATTGTGATAGTTAAATGAAATAAAACCAACATCGGATTAATTCCTTATAAATGAGTTTTGTGGTTTCATAAACACACATGCATACCACACCACGCCCCTTGGGTTTGCGTGACACCAATTCCATGTGTTTCCCATGTGTTTCCCAAGGAGAAGTCATGTGATATTCCAACTTTCTTTGGTTGCAAGCCAGAAGGACCCATGGTTCCCATAGGCCAAGTTTTGGATCTTTCACTCAGGAGCGTGAAATCCAAGTTGCATTATGTTAGAATAGAAATAGTGTTACTTATATTTTATTCTTATTTATTTTCCCTTGATTAGTGTAATGGGCTGGCCCATAATTTATGCTTTATGACATTCGTGTAATTACTCATTATGATCAATATAAAAGGGGATGAGGTCTAACTCATTCCCTAACTTCTCTCTTCTCTAAACTTACACTTTATTCCACTAACCGGCTCACACAAAATTCCTACCATGCCAAGTAGTGTCCAATATGAAAATCAAACCCACATATGGTTATTCAATTCAATTTTAACAATTCCTCATGAAGAGTGATGAATGATATTCCAAGACATGATTCATGTGATTTAATAAACATGTTCCAGCAACAATTCTAATATGAGAGATAAATTTAATTCTCAACATATGCCCTAACTTAGTCAAGGGTTTTTCACTAAAGTGTTCCAAACACAAATTCATTAAACACCAATCATCAATCTACCACCAATTGCCTGAATGATCTATGAAATGAGAATAACGTACACAAATACAACTACACCTTGACTATAGCATGATGAACAACAATGCATGTAAAAGAAACTAAAAAAAATACACAATGACATATAAAGAGAGAGAAGAGAACTCTCTACCTCAAAAACAAAGGAGAGAGAAAAGCCCTAGGTATGGAACTCGACGAAATGAAGAATGTAGCCCTTGTTGAGATCTACAACTTTGATTCTTGGATGGAAGACTAATTCTCACTCTAGGTAGGTTGAATCTAAGCTTGAAGGTGTTGACAATGGTGAATTGAAATGTATAGAGAGAAGGGAGAAAAGAGAGAAATAGCGATTATAGAGAGTGTAAAGTGGATAGTGATATCTCTGGCAGAAATTCGTGCCTAAATACAAAAAAGAGTGTCCAAATGAGTGAAGGACAGTGGGCCATGTTGCCTGAATCTAAGTTGAAACCATTGCACTACTCGAGCTCTCTAATCTCCCAGTTTCTGCACTCTACTGAAGAAGAAGAAGTTGCAAAGTCCAATAGACCACTCGAGTGGTCAAACCACCGCTCTAGCGGTGAGCTTAGGGTCATAGCATGAAATCTTTACAGCAAAAAGTCTTGCAAACAACTCAATATCACTCAAGCGATCAACCCACTGCTCGAGTGACCATCCTGGCGTTCTAGTGTAAGAATTGAGTGAAAGCTCTAGTTCAAAACCCCAACAACTCTCACCAATCACAAGAGTGAGATATAATGCAATAAATGAAATGAACGAAGAATATTAAAAAAATGCAACATAATACTAATTCCTATAGTTTTAAGAAGTAGCGATTGATGGTATAAATCTATGTTATTTTTCTTTTTATCATTGTCTCCTCTAAGTTATTTTTTTAAACTTATAATGTGTTTTAGGTTCTTTTGTATATTAACATTATGTTTGGATCTAGGATTTGGGTGGGTACCAAATCCTAGATCCAAACACAACCAAGTGTTTTAAAAATCTTCTTCTTCAATGCCATCAGTACGGAGACAGTGGTTTAGTGGTTTGTAGTGGTTGTTTGCTGACAATTTTTTCTGTACTTCATTATTTCAGATTTGGATAAGTTGCTTGCCCTAATTACTGAGTTTGTGAAATGAGAAAGGATGATAAACTAAGATCTTTAGAAAGAGACAAGAGATGATGTGAAGAGAATTTACATACATAAAAATGTATGTAATAAGTGAAAAGTATATAATTTTTTTTTTCTCAGAACATGATATAGATTGTGAGGTTTCAATGTTCAAAAACTAATTAATATATGCAGCAGGAAATCAAGAAGAAATATAACTAAAACATAGAAAAACCTTATGCTTTTAACTACCCCACAATCAAAATTTGTTTTTGTGCATCACTTTGGTTTGTTATTTAGCTGCTCAGATGCTTTGATACAATATAGATAAATGTGTTAAAAATAAAAATAAAAAATGATTCTCATGATTCAATCTTTAGCTGTTATATCTCTTAGCTGCAGAGAAGATTGAAGATCAATTGGCAGTGAGGATTTGTGTTGTTGGTCTAGCAGTGAGAAGATTGAAGTTACACATAAGCCATGTGATATCCTAAGACAAAAGAGAGCGGAGGAGAGAATTGAGAGATAGAGAGGAGAAAGGGAAAGTAGGAATGGAGGCAGAGGAAAATAAAGAGAAATTTGTAAAGGATTCCATGTGTCCCTCTTAATTTTTGCTCTGTTAACTTCTTTAAAAGTGATAGACAAAGGGCGTACATTGACACAATTTTCAAAACATAAAATCATGGTTTTCCATCTTTGAAATAAATCATGGTTTTCCGTCTTTGAAATCCAAATCCTAACATGCTTTCCAAGCTTTCTACCTTAACCTACCATGGTGACCAGTATATTCAAAGGGGTGGGTTGAAACATTACCTCTTGAAGCCTTGTAAGTGGATGAGATGAAGATGAGAGGTGGTTAGCCCAATATGTTGAGACGCTTTCTTTCAAGCTTCAAGCTCCAAACCAAGGTGGACTTCAAGCTCCTCCAACGGCTTCTCCAAGCCTTTTGATGAGCTTCCAAGTGACAATGGTCAAGTGTATGAGGCTGGGTTATATGTCTGAGACGTGTTCTTGTAATGTCCAAGTAACAAAATGGGAGAAAATCAACATAAGGGGAAGGGGGTTGACTCTCAGCAATGGAAGATTTTTGGGTGAGGCTGTTTTTATGGTCGCTTTAAGGGGTGAAATGAAATGGAAATGCATGCCAAACGCACATCTCAAAGATGCCCAACTTGGTCCCCAAATTGGCTGGGACAAGTGTGCACTTTGACTGGCCAAAGGAGGAGAGAGGGCAAGCCTTACACTTGTATTAGATATTCAAAATATACATAGCATGCTCACATGGGGCTAGGGCGGCCCACCAAAGTAGGCAAGAGGAGAGGAAGCTTCCATGCAATTTCCTTTCCACTTTAATTAAAAAATCAGTAAATGTTTTGGGGGGCAAGTTGGCATCTAATAGATCTTGAATTAAATTATTTAGAGCATGTAATTTGGATAATACACTTGATTTAATTCACTAGTTTCATTTTTTAAGTTTCCAACATAAAATAAATTTTTTATAACCAAAATGTTGATAAAGTAATTAATGAATTAATTAATAATAATAAAAATACAAATTTCCAGGTCTTCACACACTAAGGGATGGTTTGGGATGATTTAACTATGTGTACTTTTTGACTTTTTATGAAATATGGGTTGGATTTGAAGTGATGTGATAGAGAGGTGATGTGACTTAAATATGATAGTGACTTTTTGACTTTTTTATGTTATGACAAAGAAGGCCTAAGTGTAATTTACCCTAACTGATAGGATAAGAGCTTTCCAGGAGTTACATTAAGGAAAGAACCGTAGCACACCAAACACAAAACTTGAAGCATACTATTCCAATATAACAAATTTAATAGTGTAGATGAGAAATTTTTGTAATATTGTGGATAATTAATGATAGACTTTTTCAGATAATGGTCACTCTTGTATTTAGGAAGCACACCAACTTATAAAACTATGTTGGTGTTTACAAGGCTTTTCCTTTTATGTGGTGCTTTATAGTATGTGGCTTGCTACATCCCCATTCTTCTTCCTCATGCTGGAATGATCCACATTCCAAGTAACGTTGTCTACAAGTAAGTTCAGGGGAAGATTAGTTTTCTAAAGCTATTTGTTGAATGCTTATGGAAACTTCTTGTATGGTAACATTTTTTTATTTTTTCTTTATTGCTTAGGGAATTGTTAGTCACCCTGATCAATTAATTGCATTTTTTCAGGCTGAAGATGGTGTTGGTCTGCCAGAGCAAATTCTTGATCAGTCAAGTTTTGAAACGGCAGCAAAATTCTACTTCATATTTACTCGATTTGATATCCTTTGGTCCCTTAATTATTTTGCTTTGATAGTTCTAAATTTCCTTGAGGTTAGTGTAGTTTACGTTATTTCTGTATTTTTTTAAATTTTTTTTTCTTGCCTTCTATGTACTGTTACAGGGTCTTTTAAAATAAGTAATAAGGTTTTTTGTTCATTCTCTATTCTTTTAGAGTCGTGCTACAGGCCTCGAATATTGAGGCGCGAATCTGCCTTGAATTTGTTTAACCGGTCGTCCGGGTGGTTGTCCGGCAAAGAGGTTGACAGCCGCGGTAGACAAGTGCTTCACCCGGTCGTCCGGGTGGTCGTTCGGCCGGTCGACCGGTGACCACAAATTCACACCATTCGCGCCTGAAGCTCTCGAGGCCTGAAGCATTAGTGATTCTTTTATGATCAGTCAATGATGAAGTTTTTATTGAGATAACTTAGTTTGTTTAACCTGTACAGAAACCATTGTGGTGTGATGAGCATTCTGCATTTTCTTGCAATAATAGAGAGTACTACTTTCTAGGACAGTTGCCATACTTAACTGGTGCAGAGTCTCTTGTTTATGAGGTAAAAGCTATTTTCCAAATCAATTATGTGAAAAGAATTAATTATTAAGGTGGCACGAATTCTCATTCTTTCACAGAATATGTAATTTATTGTGAAGTATTGAATGATAATAATGGGTTATGATTGGTAAATAACCGTTGCCTGCTCATTACCACTAGGTTAGGTGAACGTCTTTAAATGCTTTTGAAATTGAAGTCAGGCAAAAAAGAATTGTTATACTATGTCTATTTTTGCTGTTGTTTTTTGGGCAATCAATGAAATATCTCTATAATTCATAGCTGTATTACATATAAGTAATTTGTAGCATGTGATGAATTTTTTGATGAAGGAAATCTGAATAGAGTTGAATATGAATGTTGTAGTTCTTATTTGATGAAGTTGCTTTTACTTTAAAATTTTAGATGGACTTAAAATGGTGAGTCATGGGTGATTTTGTTAGAATTCTGAAAACATTGTACTCCCTCCGTCCCTTTTTGTTGGTCCACTATTCCATTTTGGGATGTCCTAAAATGATAGTCCCATTTGAAAAGTCAAAGGCAAAAACATTTGATCTACCCATTTTGAGTAATTATAAATATATTAAAAACTTGAAAAGATAGGGGCATTAGTGAAAAAATAAATTGAAATTTAAATTCAAGTATTTGCATGCTCTCTTAAAAAGTCGGAATCTCCAAAAAGGACTTCTGGTAAGGTTATTACAAGGTTATTGAAAATCGAATAGGAAAATTATAACCTAATTACAGTAAGAAAGATTGCTAATACTAAAAATATAATACAACTTACAGACTTATGAGGTGAGCATTGAGAGTTTGTCGAGCATAAACTGGAAGCGGGTAGAAGTGTGAGTCTTAGTAAAGAAACTAGCAACCTGAAAGGCAGACAAGGCAAACGGGAAAGAGATAGTGCTAGACTGAAGATGGTGACGCACACGTGACAGTCAATCTCGATATGTTTAGTTGCTCATGGAACACGAAATTGTGCATAATCTGAATAGTACTCTAGTTTTCACAGTAAAGAGAAGTGGGAGATGAAGAAGAAATGCCCAATTCAACAAGAAGCCAACAAAGCAAGATGAGTTCAGCAGTAGCATGGGCCATAGCTTGATACTCAATCTCAGTGGTAGACTGAGCAATAAAAAGTTGCCTCTTGCTCTTCTGGGATATGTGGGAATCACCAAGAAAAACACATAAGCCAGTAGTAGACTTGCGATTAGAAATATCACCAGCCCAATTAGCATCGACATAGGCCCGAAGAGTCAGAGAAGTAGAAGTCAAAAGTAAATCTTGAAAGATAGTCCCATGTACATACTGCAAAACTCGAAGTAAAGCAGCCCAATGAGTAGTGTGTGGAGCGAAAAAAAACTGACTAACCACATGTATGGCATAGGTAATATTGGGATGAGTCATAGTGAGGTAGGCCAAACAACCAACCAACTTCCGATACAAAGTTGGATCCTCAAGAGGAACATCATCAACAGTTGCGAACATAACATGAAGTTCAATTGGTGTATTAGTTGTCTTAGTGTCAGTGAGATAGGCACAATGGATAACCTTATTAGCAGACTTAGCTTGAGACAAAAAAATAGCCTTTTGGAGAAGATAGCACTTCAATACGAAAAAAGTATCATAGAGTGCCCAAATCCTTCATCTCAAAAGTATGAAACAGATGGTGTTCAACCATGGTAATGGATGAAGAATCATACCTAGTAATGATCATATCATTAACATATAGAAGCAAAGCAACAAAGCCAACAGAATCATGGGCACTAGGTTAAAAACCAAGCCAAGTAACAACAAATTGAAAACAATAATACTAAGCATGAGGAGGCTATCTAAGGCCATAGAGAGCACGATGGAGATGACAAACATAACTAGAGGGATGAGACTAGCCAGGAGGAGGACGCATGCTAACCTCTTCATTAAGATGCCCATTGAGAAAGACATTCTTAACATCCATCTGAAAAAGAGGCCAATGGCAAATATCAATAACAAATATCAAAGTCTGGATAGAGTTCATCTTGTGTGCATGAGCAAAGGTCTACTTATCGATTGCCATATTCCTCGGGAAAAATTTTGGCAACCAAGCAAGTTAGCTCCAAAGAACCATCTGAGTGAGTTATAACTTTGTAAACCCAATTACAGCCGATGAAGTTATTATTAGGGGCCAAGTGGACCAACTCCTAAATAGAAGTATTAGCAAGAACGGACAACTCATGTTCCATAGCGGATATCCAGCTCGGATCCAGAGAAACCTCCATATGAGACTGAGGCTTAACATAAGAATGAATGGTAGTAAAAAATGCATGGTATGACGAAGAAACACGAGTATTAGAGAAATTCAGTCTTATTGATGGAGTCCTATGGCGAAAGGGATAGCGACGAGGAGGATCAAGGTCAAGATCCATAGAAGCAGGAAGAGGAGCAACATGGTTGAAGGTGACCTGTGGTGGCAAAGCCTTCCTACAAGTATAATCCGACAAGGAAGAACTCTTGACACCTGTAGAAGGAACAAGGGGAGAAGGAGGCAAGAGAGGATAAAAAGTAGAGATAAAACTCATCACAAGGGACATCAATCAAAAATGGGTCAAGATATTTAAATCTCAAGGTCCAAGTAGTCCTTACACTAATTCATATTTGGAGACAGAAATAGAGTGAAAAAATTTGTTATCTAGGTTCAATTATTGATAAGGATGGAGGGGCTAGAGATGATATGACCCATAAAATCAAAATAGGTTGATTTGAGAATGACAAATACTAGTAAAATTAAAAACAAAATTTTATATAGCAGTTATAAAGCCAACGATGGTTTTCTGGGTAGAATATTGGGTAATTAAGAAACAACACGTTAATAAAATGAGTGTAGCTAGTTGCAGATGCTAAAATGGATAAGTGGCAAGATCAGGAAATATAAAATTAGAGTATTCATGAAATCGTATGAGTAGCACCAATTAAAGATAAATTGAGAGAGAACAGATTGAGATGTTTCGATCATGCACAACAAAGAATGGTAGATGCAATTGTAAGTAGGGCTATAAAAACACCAAGCTACCTGTGCTCGACTCATGTTTGGCTCATTGAAGATCAACTTGTTAGGCAAACAAGTTAAGCCTAAACACATTTTGAAACTCATTAATTTTTTGAGTTTGGCTCAAACTCAACTCGATAAGCTTATATGAACTATAAACAAGCAAGCTACAGCTCAATTGAGATCAGCTCAAAAACAAGCAAACCTTGAACACATTTTAAAGCTCGTTAAGTTTTCAAACCAAGGTTGAACAACCTCAATTGTAAGGAATAATGGTATGATTACTGTAAATAGAAATGTTTTGTTTTTTTTTTTTTTTGGGGGGGGGGGGGGGGGGGTTTCTAAACTGGCACAAGAAGTTGTATGTGAATTTATTTAATTTAATTGAATATATAGTCCTATATAGAATAGAATGGCGAAAATGGATCCATATAGCTGCCCCAATCGAGTTGGACAGAAGGCTTGGTTTGATTATTATGTTATTATTGTTAATTATGTGATTTTCTACTTCTTGTGCAGGGTGTAACTCTTATCATTCTCATGATACATACCTTCTTTCCCATTTCGTATGAAGGATTCAGTATATACTGGAAAAGTGCTCTTAATATATTAAAGGTACTTGGTTCCAAAACCTTGCACCTGAAGTTGTTATCTGAACCCTTTACTTTCTTGTCTTCACTAGCCATTTTATATAAAGGAGATTGTTATATTCTCAAAACAAGAGGTTCCATGATAAAAATATTGGCTAAAGTGGATCATGGAAATGCTTATTTGCATGACAATGATTTGCTCCTTGGTTGTGTTTGTGTGCATAATTTTAATTTCAGTAACCTTGTTATCAAAGCTGATTCAAATAAAATTGCATTGTCTACTACAAAAACTATGACAAGACAGGGATAAATTGTATTATATATCAAGTGAGTTCTAAATACCATTCTTTTTTATAATTTGATGGATATTAAAACGACTATGTTTGATAATGAATAACAAATTTACATGGTTTATTAAAATGACTCATTTGTGTGACATGGTTGTTTAGCTCCAACTGATGACTGAAAAATAATAAATGGCTATGCTTGAGGATGGGTTACAAACTTGAGCAAAGTATTGTTGATTTGTTGTTTTGTTATGGTTGTTTTGTTCTATCTGGTTATGTTGGAAGGGGTTTGATCTAATAAAATCTGTAAGTTATGCATCTCCCAGAAGTTGTAGAAGAAGTACACATGAAACATATTACAGAGGATGCTAATCTCCGGATTGATATCTTCACTTAAAAAGCTGCTATTTTTAAGTGACAATATAGCTTCTATGGGAGGACAGCTATGTTGTTCAATGCAAAAGGCTTGTAATCTTTGTAGATCATGTTGCAATGGCATCTGTGTAGTGGCATTATTAACAATTATTGGAAACTGGTTGTCTTTTTTGGTCTTTATTGTAACCGTTGGATTTGCTTTCTTCAGTTGATAGCTCAAAACAATGCAATTTTATTTTACACTCGATTTTTATATCAATTTTCACAACTACTCTTCCTTTTTTTTAAAATTTTTTTTTTTTTTTTAATTTTTTTTTTTTAATTTGTACTGTAACTTTGTTCATATATATATATATATATTGAAGTTTTCAGCTGATTTTAGTCTTGTTCTTTCTTATGTTAGATGAACCATGCTCAATGACTATGGTAAACTAACTTAACTATTTGAAGTCGAATTATTTATTTTGTTGGTGTTCAACCCCTCCTACTGGAACTTTTTGAGAAATATGTTTGTCTGAAGCATATTAGTAATTCATTCCAGTGAAATTGGTTTCTAGAAGCACAACAATGTGCAGAACACCAAGAAGATATGCCAGGACTGCTTGCAATGACACTTTGCCCTCAAAACTGCTACATATAGTTTTTCATCAAAATAAAATTGAGAACATATTTGACACTTCAGAGTTTTATTTTTTTGGAAAGAATAGTGATTTTGTCAAGTAACAAATTGTCCTATCTATCTTTAATGTGGTGAAATTGTTGATTAAATAGTAATCTTTTCTGTATCATCGTGATTCTCATTTTCTTAGTCTCCTTTTGATAGTTCAGATCATGGATGAGTTGGTTTTGTAGTTTGACGGCCTAACTAAAATAAACTAAAATAATGGTTGATGTGCAGTGCCTCAGGTTTGGGTGGAACTGGATACTGCCCAGTTCACAAACTATGTACCAACAACTGGTACATTCTGTACGAGATGGTGGTACGTTTGGTACAAATGTCATATACATCTTGACATAATCAACTAAAGGTGAACGTAACAATCATTGTTTGAAAATGTACCACCATTTGGATGAGATGTACAAGCTATTGGTGCATAATTATGAACTGGATGGCATTTATAATCCATCCTAGCTGTTTTGCTATTCTCTACTTCTCTGCCTGTCATAAGTGTTAGAATAGGAAATAAGTGATTATATTTTATTCTTATTTATTCCCTTGATTGGTGTAATGGGCTGGTCCATATATTATGCTTTATGGCACTCTTGTAATTACTCAGTATTATCAATATAAAAGGGTATGAAGTCTAACTCATTCCCTAATTCTTTCTCTTCTCTAAACCTACATGGTATTAGAGCCACCCAAGGAGAAACTTTGGATCAACCAAAGATTACCTTGCTTTCACTGAAGGACTGCCCAGGCCACCCAAACTCTTGGTTAGGACAGGCGGCCCTCACCCAGTGCAGCAGAAGGCCAGTCAGCTCTTACCCAGGCCAGCTGAAGGCTAGTTGGCTCCTACCCAGGCCAACCGAAGGTCCCTCTTGGTTTGTTGGCTCTCACCTAGGGCTGTAGAAGGTTAGTCGGCCCCCCTTGGCTCCTACCCAAGCCAGCCGAAGGTCTTTTTTGGTCTGTCGGCTCTCACCTAGGGTTGTAGAAGGTCAGTCGGCCCCCCTCGGCTCCTACCCAGTCCAGCCGAAGGTCCCTCTTGGTCTGTCAACTCTCACCTAGGGCTGTAGAAGGTCAATTGGCGCCCCTCGGCTCCTACCCAGGCTAGTCGAAGGTCTCTTTTGGTCTGTCGGCTCTCACCTAAGGCTGTAGAGGTCAGTTGGCCCCCCTTCAGGACAGCCGAAGCCTTCTCTTCCTTTCTCTAGGTCTGTCGGCACCTTCTCTTCCTTTGTATAGGTTTGTCGGCAGTCGGCCTCTGACTTCTTTGTTTCGTTGGTATTAGCCTTTGACTTCTTTGTTTCTTTCTTCGTAAATAAATACACATCTCTGTTTCTTTCTTCATAAATAAATAAAATGCAATTAAAAAAAAAAAAAACTCTGGTGATATAAAAACAGTATAGAAACAAAACCACACTGGATTCTTCTTTCTTTATGCTTTTATAGTTACTGTTGTGCTTGTTACTACACTCTCATCTTTCGAGTTTGTGATTGGCATCGTGTTTGAGGAACAGTTAGTAGAGTCTCCATGGCGGATTTGACCAGTGAATCTATTACCTCTTAGCCATCTCAAGGCGAGAGTTCTGTTATCCCTTCCACTATGACTAATAACCTCCACACTGGCCTTAGAATCACCACCTCTCTATTCAATGGTCAGAATTACCTAGCGTGGTCGCAGATTCTGACTATTTTCATAAAGAGCAAGGGGAAAATGAGATATGTTGATGGGCAGGTTCAGGCACCCAGACCAATGGGAGATCACCAATTTTTTGATTATGGGTTGGTTGATCCATTCTATGGTTCTGGAGTTTGGAGAGGGCTACTTGTCTATGGACATTGCCTAGGATATTTAGGAGGCTGTAGCAACTACTTACTCTAGGAAAGGGAACTTCTCACAGGCTTTCGAGTTACGTCGATCCATTGAAAGGTCGGTACAAGGTGAGCAGACTATTCTCCAGTATTTTACCTTTCTTAACAATGGCTGGAATCGGTTTGATCACCTTCAGGATTACAAGCCTGTCTATCCCACTGATTCTGCTGGTTACCGGAAGTTTGTGGCGCAAGAGTAGGTCTTCAAGTTCTTGGAAGGCCTAAATGTGGAGTATGATCTGGTTCGGAGTAGAGTACTTGGCATGGATATGCTTCCTTCTCTTTAGGAAGCCTTTGCTTTTGGGCAGAATGAGGAGAGTTGCCATTCTGCGATGCTTCCTTCTGTTTCTACTGATCGTTCGGCCTTGGTTTCTACACCCTCTCGTGATGGTGACCGTGCGACTCGTGGTTCTCGTCCTTTCTTTGAGAAGGATAATCTTTACTGTGACTACTGTTGTCGACCTCGCCACACACGAGAGACTTGTTGGAAGCTGCATGGAAATCCAGGGGCTGCATGGTCGGTATGGTCCTTGAGACTGCGGGGCCAATGCACGAGCCCATCTTTCGGACACTGTTAAGCCACCATCTTCATCTCCAGGTGTCTTCTCCGCTGTGGATGTTTCGGGGTTATCTGCCTCGAATTTTGAGATTGCTCTTTGCTACTTGCTAGACCGTTGAGCCTTCACTTCTGCTACAGGTGCACCCTCTTCTTCCTTTGCCAATTCAGATACCTTGGCTTCCTTCCCATGTGCATTGTTATCTCATACGACTATACTATGGATTATTGATTTTGGTGCTTTCAACCATATGTCTGGCTCTTCTAATTTATTTTTAGAGTATAACCCCTCCTTAGGTCAGGAAAAGGTGCGTATTGCTGATGGTACAACTTCGTCTGTGTCAGGGAAAGGTTTAATTCATGCCACCCCTTACCTTCCTTTGTCTTCTGTCTTCCATGTTCTCAATTTTAATATTAATCTTTTATCTGTGAGTCGTATTATTTGTGACTTAAATTGTAGCGTGACGTTTTTTTTTCTAATCATTGTCTTTTTCAGGACCTTATCATGAGGAAGAGGATTGGTAGTGGTAGAGACGATCATGATCTCTACATTTTGGATCAGACAGCCAAGCTGGCTCATTCATCTATTCAGTTATCATCCACCAAGGAAGACATTTGGCTGTGGCATCATCGCTTAGGACACCTCTCATTTTTATTACTTAAACATTTATTTCCTTCTGTTTTTGAGAAAAATAATGAATATGCTTAGTTAGAGTTTTCCAAAAACTCTTTTCAGAAAATTCTACTTTCTTACTTTCCGTTTTTTTTGTTTTTGCTGAATTTTTTTAATATTTTAAGCAATTTTTTTTTTACTTTTTAGACATACTTAACATAAATATACCTAAAAAGTAAAAAATTTATGAAAGAAACCTTTTAAAAATTCACTAAATACCAAAAATACAAAAAAAAAATACGAGAATTTAGTACAATTTTTTGTATTTTTATGTATTTATTAATTTTTTAAAATATTTTTTCACAAATTTTTTACTTTTTAAATACATTTAAATAAGGTGCATCTAAAAACGTAAAAAAAATGTTTAAAATTTTAAAAATATTCACTAAAACAAAAAAACACAAAAACTAAAAAACTTAATCCAAAAAACTCAAACCAAACACACTGAATGTGTTTCAATGTGAGTCTTGTCAACTTGGAAAACAATACAGAGCCTTTTTTGCTCCTATTAATAAAAGTTCAGTTCCATTTTCTTTGATTCATTTTGATGTATGGGGTCCATCACGTTTTGTATCTTTAACCTGTCACAAATGGTTTGTTACCTTCATAGATGATTGTTCTAGGGCTATTTGGGTCTATTTGATGAAAGATAAAATGAGGTGTTTTTTGTGTTTCAAACCTTCCATTAAATGGTTTGTACTCAGTTTGGGGCGGTTGTCTAAATTCTTTGTTCTGATAATGGGTGGGAAATATATTGACTCTGGTCTTGCCACTTACTTCGCCACTCATGGCATTATTCCCCTGACTTCTTGCACTAATACCCTTCAACAAATGGTGTTACAGAATGCAAAAACCGCCATCTCTTTGATGTCGTCCGTTGTCTATCGTTTGAGATGCTGGTTCCTCGATCCTATTGGGAGGCAGCAGCTCTCACTGCCGCTTATTTGATTAATCGTTTTTCTACCCAAGTCTTTCAAAAATAAACACCTCTTCACGTTTTGTTCGGGTCTACCTCTTCCGGATTCTCCATTTCTCCTAAGACCTTTGGTTATGTTTGCTTTGTCCATAATTATTCCTCCACTCGTGGAAAATCGGATCCTAGGTCTCTTAAGTGTGTTTTTCTGGGTTATTTTGTCACCCAAAAGGGTTATAAGTGTTATCATCCTCTCACTCGCAAATAGTTTGTCTTCATAGATGTCACTTTCTTTAAGTCTCAGTCTTACGTTACGACCTCCCCAGTATCACAGTCCTCTCTTCAAGGAGAGCCTTGGTGTGAAGACATTCTTGTTCTTGTTCCATTTCCACCCGTGCTTGAATGGAGAGAGGATGATGAGCTAGCAGTTGTTGAGGAAAAGGAAGCAGGCCAAGTTTATATCAGGGACAAGGATAGACAACAAGTTACTTGGATGCAAGAGCCTATTCTCCTTCCTCTACTGCCAACTTTTTCTCCGAATGAGTGTCCAGAGTCACCCTCATTTCCTGAGAGTCCATGCAATTCTAATTCTAGTGCTCTTATTCCTGATGTTTCAGATCTTGATGTTTCCATTGTTAATAGGAAGGGGGTTAGGTCATGTATTTAGCATCTTATTACTAATCATGTCCCTTATTCTAATCTGTCTTCCTCATATAAAGCCTTTCTTTCTAAAATGTCTTCTGTGAGTCTACCTACTAATTTTCAGGATGCTCTCTCTATTTCTGAATGGAAACATGCCATGATGGAAGAGATAAGAGCTCTTTGCAAGAGTGACACTTGGCAGTTAGTGGAGTTACCTAGAGGCAAAAATCCAGTTGGGTGTAAGTCGGTGTACACGGTAAAACACAAAGCAGATGGTTCCATAGAACGGTATAAAGTAAGATTGGTTGCTAAGGGCTTCACTTAGATTTATGGGATAGCTTACCAAGAGACATTTGTACCAGTTGCTAAGATGAACTCTGTGAGAATTTTACTCTCTCTTTCTGCAAATTTGGATTGGTCACTTCATCAGTTTGATGTAAAGAATGCATTTCTTCATGGAGACCTAGCAAAAGAGGCCTATATGGATATTTCCCCTGGTTTTGCGGATGCCAAGTCCAAACGTAAAGTATGCAGGCTCCAAAAGTCGCTTTATGGACTAAAGCAGTCTCCTAGGGCTTGGTTTGAAAGGTTTGCTCAAGCTATGCTTAAATATAGGTTCAAGCATAGTCAAGCTGATCACATCTTGTTTGTGAAACACTCCTCACATGGTAAGACTACAACTCTCATTGTTTGTGTTGATGATATTGTTCTGACGGGAGATGACATGGAGGAAATCCCTCTGTTGAAGGAATACCTAGCTAAGGAGTTTGAAATCAAAGACTTGTGTAGTTTGAAGTATTTCTTGGGTATTGAAGTAGCTAGGAGCAAGGATGGCATCTTCATATGTCAGAGAAAGTATGTACTTGACTTGCTAAAGGAAATTGGACTGCTTAGAGGTAGACCATGTGATACACCTCTAGAACTAGGTCATAAACTCAGTGAGGATCAAGAGGGAGAGCCAGTGGACAGGGGGAGATACTAGAGACTAGTGGGCAAGCTCATATACTTATTTCGCTCACGTCCAGACATTGCCATTGCTGTGAGTATGGCGAGCTAGTCTATGCATGTTCTTAGAACTTCCTACTTAGAGGCAATTATGAGAATCCTGAGATACCTGAAGTCTTCTCCTGGAAAGGGTCTCTATTTCTCAAAAACATGGCCATTTCAGTATGGAGGCATTTACTGATGCAGATTGGGCTGGATCAGTCACTGACAGACGATCAACTTTCGGGTACTACACGTGTTGGTGGTAACCTAGTCACATGGCGAAGTAAGAAATAGAATGTGGTTACTAGATCTGCTGCTGAGGCAGAATTTAGGGCTATGGCTGAGGTGTATGTGAGTTATTATGGATTAAATTATTCTTGGGAGACTTGGGAATCCATCAGACTGACTCCATGTGACTATACTGTGACAACAAGGCCACAATCAACATAGCTAATAATCCAGTTCAACATGATAGAGCTAAGCATATGGAGATTGATCGGCACTTCATCAAGGAAAAACTCACTAATGACCTCATATGTATTCCATTTGTGAAGACTAGAGACCAACTAGCCGATGTTCTCATCAAGAGGCTAGGGAGCAAACCATTTCATGGCATTCTCAATAAGTTGGGCATAAGAGATATCTTCACACCAGCTTGAGGGGAAGTGTTAGAATAAGAAATAAGTTAGAATAGGAAATAAGTGATTGTATTTTATTCTTATTTATTCCCTTGATTGA